CCAGGCTCCGGCCAGCCTGGAAGGTCCGTTAGCCCTACACGGGGCTTTGGTGCTCCCCTGGGGTGTCTGACTTTCACTGATCCCATCCTCCCCCCGAGCTGCTGCAGCACAAGCCTAACCGGAACCCAGCGGCCCTGCGCTGCCCTTTAGCGCTGGCACCGGCTGAGAAGCGGGACCTCGGGCTTACTGGAAGGGGAAACCCCGCTGCGCGCTCTCCCGACTTCACAGGCAGCTCGGCCCCGGCCAAACTGACGGGCTTTCGCGCCCTCCCCATCAAGTGAAAGTACAAACCGCCCCACATCTCTCCGCAGTGAAACCGGCCAGCTCTGTCCCTGTCGCGCCGCAAAGCCCCCTGGCACCTCTCCGCCCAACCCCACACCCACCAGCTCTTTGCCAGAGCGAGCAGCCAGCTGGACCGGCGCTGGCTTGGGGGCGTCTGGGGTGCCGAGGACAGGTTCCCCCGGCTTCTAACACGTAGTCAGCTGGAAGGAAGAGGGCATCTCTCCTCCAGCAGCCGAGCCCCGGGCGAAATCCTCTCGGTGCACCTGGAAACCCTTCGGATCCCTGGTGCAGGGACAGAGGGTAAAACTCCGGGAGCTGGTGACGCTGAGTTCAGCCGGGTTACTGCACACGAGCGCAGGTGTAGCTGAAAACAGCAGCGCGCCCACATCAGTAAAAAACGCCTCGCAATCCACCGACCAGCAACCCTTCCAGGCTCTCCTCTCTGCCTGGCCTTAATCCAGAATCCACCTTTTGCTTAAAAGATCCAAATCCCCCTCTCCCCTCACACACACACACCCACATTCACTCCCGGCGCGAACTTTCCCGTGTGTAATTTTCTGTCTGCTCTGCTCAACTCTGTCTCCTTCCAAACTGATCCGGGCAATCCCTGGTTTGCTGGATCCCAGCAGTCCAAGAGCACAGGTCAAACAGCTACCCCCTTTCCCTGGCTAGCCCTCACAAACGGCTGGGTCTGGGGCTCACATCAGCCCCTGAAACATTGGCATGCCCCGGCAGCCCGCCCCAACAAACTGCCCTTGGGCCATTAAA